GCCAGGCACCATCCTAAGTGTCTTACAGGGGCCCGACGAGGAAGGACTGGGGTTTTCCCGTTGATAGCTGACGAAGGCGAAGGAACTTTCTCAGTGTTACGTCGGGAGGAGTGGGGAAGGCCGGAGGCATCCGTGCTTATTTACCTCAGATCCTTTCCTCCTGGCTCTTCACATTCCGCAGACATTTCTGAGAGCGAGAACTTGGCCTCTAAAGGGGCCAGATGCTCCCGCATCTCTTTGCTTTCTCTCCGACTTTATATTCTCTGATTCCTCCAAGTGCTTTTTAGGACGGCAGCCAATCTTTCGAGCCCCATCAGCAGGCCAGAGTGAGACTTGACTGGTGGGCAGGTTTGTGAAGAGAATACTTTTGATTTTCTACCTTCTTCCATCTCTGGCCCGAATCTCCTCTGATCCGCCGAGGGCCCTTCTTTCTCCCCGGGCCCACGGGCGCCACTGTGTCTTCGAGGCTGGCGTCGTGTCTTCGAGGCCCACTCGTCCTCACGGCTCTTGTTTCTTCAGGAAGGCGAGAATAACGACAAGTTCTTCACCCACCCCAAGAACGCCGCGGCGCTGGCGGCCTACCTCTTTGCACACAACCACCTCTTCTACCTGATGGAGCTCTCCACGGCCCTGCTGCTGCTGCTGCTGTCCCTGTGTGAGGCCCCCGCTGTCCCCGCGCTCCGGCTCGGCATTTACGTGAGTGTCCACGTGGCCGGGAGCCACTGCTCTCTGGGGGGCAAGCGCCACAAGCCGTCTCTCAGGCTGACACAAGCCTGAAAGGGAACATTCTGGAAGGGCAGACACTGCAAACGGATTTAAAACAGAGAGGCCCTGGGAGTGGCAGTGACTCACTCTGCTGGCCTTGCCTGGGGTCCCCTGTGGCGTGAATGCATTTCGCCTGGTCTCGCTGGGACTTGGTGCACTCGGGAATTCCAGGGAGGGCCCCCTGATCGTGTCACTGACGACCAGTGGCCACACCTGGGCTCCAGGTGAGCAGTACACCTGCTCAGTAGTCCCACCCACCATCTCTGACCTCAGAGGCAAAGGCAGCCGGGAGTGACCACCAGTGGGGAGGACGGGGTTAGTGATGCCACATCTCCACACCCTTTCGTTACAGGTCCACGCGACCTTGGAGCTGTTCGCCCTGATGGTGGTCGTCTTTGAACTCTGCATGAAGTTGCGGTGGCTGGGCCTCCATACCTTCATCCGGCACAAACGGACCATGGTCAAGGTGAAGTATCCATCTCCTCGCAGCGTTTTCTCTCATGTCCCCTTCAAAGTCTCTCTTCAGTTCACTTCCAAATCCCCCGGGGGCCTAGTCCTGCGCTCAGAAGAGTAACTCGGGGTCCTCACCACGCTCCCAGCCTTGCACAGCCATGCTCCAGATGTCACAGCTCTGCAAATAGTAGCTAATGTGTCTGGTGCGGGCCAAGCCCTGGCACGGTCACCTTTGTGGGAGATATATTACTGTTCCTGGTTCACTTGCAGCCAATCAGAAGAGTAGGATCTAAATTCTGGAGAGTTAGGATTCAAACCCAGGTCTGTCTGGCCTCCAAGCCCTCGCTGCTCAGTCACCGGTATTGTACCCCGTCTGTCTGTGCAGCAGAGACAGGCGTAAGTAGGAATGTGTCCGCGTGGCACTTTGCAGTGTAACAAGCAAGCACGCTGCCCGGAGAATGTGCCCTAAGAATGGGAGATCAGGGTGCACTGCAGACCTCAGGGGCCTTCCTGACGAGGCCAGTCAGGGTGGGTGGACGTGGCCGGGTGGAGTGGCGGTTCTGCTCGGTGAATAGCATCTGACGAGCTGCTGGGAGCGTGCCCCCTCGGGTTCACTCTCCTGGAACCACACACCTGTGCCAGCAGCCGAGGGCTCTTCTCCAGGGGCCGCTTGATGTTAGGGGAGGTATGAGAGAGCTGGAGAGAAGGGAAGGGCCTCTCGAGGCCAGAGCAGGCAGCATCTAGCCGGCCCTCAGTTCAGGGGGGCTGGAGGCGCTGATGGCACTGCCCTTGTTCGCCCCCAGACTTCCGTGTTGGTGGTGCAGTTCATCGAGGCCATCGTGGTGTTGGTACGGCAGATGTCCCACGTGCGGGTGACCCGGGCACTGCGCTGCATTTTCCTGGTGGACTGTCGGTACTGCGGCGGCGTCCGGCGGTAAGGCCTGGGGGGGAGCTGCCCAGACAGTCGCTATCATGGCCTGGACCTCTGGGCCAGCGGAGCAGGACCCAGCGAGTCAAGTGACGATAAGGCCCATCCTGCACCCTGGTAGACACTCAGCACACTCACTTCCCTGTGCCATTCGACCCACCTGGAGGAGGGCGGTATTCCAGCTGACACTGAGGTGTCCTGACTCCGGGTCCAGGACTCTTTCCTGTCTTACCCACAGCCTGCTGGGACTGACTTCTCTCCCTGACACATTATCTGCCTGAACACAGCAGCAGCGGCAGCCTAAAGCAGGCAACTTGGCCAAGTCCACGTGACTCAGCGGCCCATCCTGGACCTCCCCCGAGACCCGGGGACTGAACTCACACCAGGCCATCAGCCTAGAGTTCAGCTTAGTTTTGATGTCTCTATCTGAAAAATCTCTTGGCTGCGATACTGTTGATGTGAGTGGGCTAGCAATTCATTCTTCATGCCCGTCCTCAAAACTGGAAACAAGTGTCCCAGGACTAGGTGGCCCTGAACGGTCTTCATGCATCCCACCTCTCAAGGAAGCTGACCTTTGCGCCTGAGGTCATGCACTTGGCCTTCCGCTGTAGGGTGCTCCCTACCTCTGTAGGGTGCTTACCTGTCTGGGCTTTATAAGCACGAGGTGGTGGTTTTGTGTGCTAAGTTTTCCCCCGTCACCCACTTGAGTAGGAAGTCTCCAGGGACAACATAGAGTACGATGTCACCAGCCAGGGAGCAATGGGGTTTAGTGTCCTGTGCGTCAGGAGCACCAGGCCCCCGGCTAGACAAGTGTGTACCCCGCGGAGGCATCCCGAACCGCGCTCCTAGAGCCCCGCCCCCATGCCTTGCCCCTCCTTGCCCTGTTGCCCCGTCCCCCTCCACACCTCACCCCTCCTCGCCCCGTCTTTCTCCCCAGCAACCTTCGGCAGATCTTCCAGTCCCTGCCACCCTTCATGGACATCCTCCTGCTGCTGCTCTTCTTCATGATCATTTTTGCCATCCTTGGTGAGTCCCCTGCACCCCAGGACCCGGGCAGTCAGCCCAAAAGCAAATTCACAGCGGAAGGAAATTTTACTCGGACCGTTTTAGAAATTCAGAAAGGTTTTACTAATGACACAAACACCCGTGGACTCTAACTTAGGAAATGAAGAATCAGAAATAAAATAGAAGCCCCTTTGGGGTCCTTCCATGATGTTAGTTTTACCTCCCCCCCCCCCCCCCGAGAGGTACCCACGGCCTAAGCGTAGCATTTCTGTGCACATCTTTATAGTATCACTTTATATGGACATTTCCTTAAGCAACAAGTATTAGCGCTTTGCATATTAAAAAAAAATGTATCAATGGTTACATAATGGGCGTGTCCCCTTCTGCAAGGTGCAACGTTATGTGTTTGAAGTTTACTCATGTTGATACAGGTAAATGTTGTTCGTTCATTTTCCCTGGAGTGTAGTGAATATACCCAGATGTATTTATGCGTTCTGTTGGTGGGCATTTTTCACTATCACAGGTCACACTGCAGTGATCACGCTCGTGTTTCCTGGCGTACACGTGTGACAATTTCTCTATGGCATATGCCTAGGACATTAGGGTCTAAACACTTTAGCTTCTCTAGACATAAAAACAAGAACATGGCCTTTCTCACCCCAAGGAAGCCTTGCCTCTTCAGATAAGGCCAAGTATTTATACAACACCCACATCCAGACACAGGGCGTGGACAGTGGGATCCTGAAAAATAGCGAGGAAGCCTTAGGTCCATTCTGGAGTCCTGAGAGAATGGTGAAGACAATGGAACCAAAGTGCCCTGACTTGACGGCCAGCTCCCAGGCCCTTGTTACTGATCTGTCCTGAGCTGTTGGCTCCCTCTTCCTCCTCCCCTTCACCCCAGTCTCTAGAACTTCCTTTGTGCTCCAAGGGGGCTGACGTCCCCTGAAGGCGGAGTTTCCCCCTTTTCCCACTCAGGATTTCAAGGACTCAGGGGAAAAGCCCATCCCGAGAGGGAGGAAATTAATGGTGGTCCCATCACAGGACCCCTGGCTGCAGGGGAACAGTGGGGTCCCTTTGGAATTGTCCCTTGGCCGTTGTGTGTTCAGAACCAAAGGTTGCAAACCAACAGTCTGGATTTCAGACCCGGCCTATGGATGCATTTGTTTGGTCTGAAAATGTTGAGTCAGCATTTTAAAATTGGATTTTTACTCAAAAATACAGATTTCCAGCCCTTTTAAATAATAGATTTGGTGGTACTGGGGCCACCTTTCCAAACAGCTGCATTTATCCAGGTGCCCAGTAGCACCTGCTGCCTTTAGACAGACCACGTGTTCTCCAGATGCCACAGGCCCCACCACTCCCTGTTGCTCTCCCTCGGCGCATTGCTTTCATTTACGTTTATTCATCCAGTCCTTTTGACATCTGGGTTTGGGACCTCTGCTCTAAGCCTCTTTTCAATCTGTTTTCTACCACCTTCTAGGTTTCTACTTGTTCTCCTCTAATCCTTCAGACCCCGTAAGTAATCACCGTGTTTTGTCTGTTTCTTACTTTATGCGAGGCCTTTCCCCTCAGACAGGGTGGCTGGACTGACCCCTAGCCACGTGAGGAAGGGTGCCCTGCCTGGGTTCTCATGGCCCCTGGAAGTCCCCATTGCTCAGACTTGAGCCACTTCCTCCCTTGAGCCCTGAAGGGATCCCCTTACCTGTCTTGAGAGGCATGTTTCTAGGATCAGAGTTGGAACATGGGAACAGTTTGGAGGCGCAGTGGAGGAGAGCCAACCTAATTGTGCAAAGGCGTGATCCTATAAGAGAAAGGTCCCCAAGTCAGTTGTCTGCTTCTGCCAAAAGCACGGAGTTCAGGAAGGTGGAGGCCTCTGGACTCCACGTTTGCTCATCCCCCTGCCATCCCTCAGGGGTTCCTTGGGGGGGAGGAAGAGTTGGTGGGGTGGGGAGAAGGAAGGGTGGGGTGCTCCAGGTGGCCTGTCGCAGCCAGTTCCTGGCTGGTGTGTGCTGTCCAGCTGGGGCCAACATGTCCTTCTGCCTCCTTCCCTGGGCAGTACTTCAGCACCCTGGAGAGCAGCATCGTCAGCCTCTTTGTCCTTCTGACCACAGCCAAGTAAGTTTGGACTCCGCTCTGGCTCCCCCCTGCCCTCTGCTAGTGCCCAGGGTCTTCTCCTCTTGTCAGCCCAGAATATCTCACATCGCAGCCCAGACAGGCACGCAGGGCACTGTGAGGGATGGGAGCGGCCTGGGTGAGCTCGGAGCCCAGGGACCGCGAGCAGGGGAAGGCGGGATGGGGCTGCGAAGGCAGAAAAGAGGGGTGTCCTTAGAGAAGACGGAGGCAGGCAGACATGGGGCCTTGCGGGTAATCCTCTGCAAATGCAGTTTCCCAGACGTGATGATGCCGTCCTACTCCCGGAACCCCTGGTCCTGTGTCTTCTTCATCGTGTACCTCTCCATCGAGCTGTACTTCACCATGAACCTGGTGAGTGGCCATGTCTTCTGCTCCATGGAGTAGACTGTCTAGCCCACACCGTGCTGTGCACCGTGGGAATGGAGAAGGAGGAACTGCCATCGGCTGGGGAGGGGGGTCCCAGGCTGTAGTCACGTGCAGGGTGGCTGCAGGGGGTCCCTGTCGGGACTTGGCTTCAGCCGTGGTACCACTGCTGCTGCTGACGGTGCTAGCGTTTAAGCCAAGCCTTCCCTGGGACCTTTTCATTCTCACAGCAAGCGTATAAGAACCATAAAAGCTGGCACTTAGGAAGCCTAAGCTAGGAACCATGCAAAGTACTTTATGCATGAGGATTAAATGATTGAACACAAAAACCCTGGAGGCCCTGCTATGATTCTCGTTTTGTAGATGAGGAAACTTAGGGTCACTTGGATAGAGTGACTTGCCCACGGAGTGACCAGCTTGGAGTAGTCAGGCAAGCTGGTTTGATTCCAGAGCCCGGCTCTTAACTGCTCGTCCTGCCGCGCCCACGGGCCGGAACATCTTACGTGTTTCTACCCCATTTATCACGAACCATCAGAAAACCCACCCTCCGTTCAAGAGAATGTGAAGTCCCTGTGTACACTGGGAACTTGGGAGGTGTTTGTTGGAGGCTCAGCTGGCCACTGGGAATGTTCCTGCCATCAGCCGATCGCCTCCGAGACAAGGCCCTTAGGCTGGTGCCAAGACCGCACATCCGCACCAGAATTATCAGGCTCTTAGCAAGTCTTACATTTATTTTTATGCTTCTGAAGAGCATTCTCTAGCAGTCACCCCAGTCAGGCCCAGCAGAGAAATGGAAAACACTTTCTCTGGAGCAGATACATGAAATATCTTAAAAACTGGAAATCTTAAAGAGGAAAATATTTTCTTTTTTAATTCCTCCAAACCAAAAAGAAATGTTGGGTATCACTTCATACACATTACAGGTCTTGCATACTATTGTTCATTTACAATCATAACAATATATTATGTCTAATTGATTTGTTTTCATTAGTAACTTATTTAGAGCTGTGAAAAAATTCAGGGCAGAGGTCTGCAAAGCACAGCCTGCTAGCCTAAGCCAGCCCACTGCCTGGGTTTGTCAATAAAGTTTTATTGGCACACAGCCACGCCCATTTGTTTACACATCTTCTGTGGCTGAGTTCATGCTATAATTTGCAGGGTTGAGTGGTTTCAACAAAGACCATCTGGCCTTCAGAGCCTAAAACAGTTGCTATCTGGCTCCTTACAGAAAAAGTTTGCTGACTCTTCCCTTGATCTAAAGGGGGAAAAAAATGGGGGCCAATTCGAAGTGGGGAGGTGGAAAGGACAGGAGCGTTGCCCTCAAAATGTGTGTGGAAAAAAAAAAAAAAGGAAGTACTTCCAAAAAGTCTTCTTTCAAATTCTGCCCCTGCCCTCCCATCGCTCCCTGATAACACAGGCTGTGTTGATAACATACCGACTTTGGAATTGGGCATTTCCAGAATGTTGTGCCCTTGAGGTCAGGCCTCCACAGGCCCCTGATTTCTGGGGCCCTGCAGGAAGCCGTGACTCACCGGAACTTGGGAGGAAGCATCCGGCCCAGTGATGCGCCTTCCTGCTCCGAGGCAGGGAGGGCACAGGATGGACACACAGCCGCCCCTGCCATGGTACTGAGCTGATTGGGCATAGAACCCAGCATGTTCTTGGCTGCTTCCTTCTCTCCTTATAAAACCGCCCAGCCGGGGACGAGCTGTAAGGTGGAGAAGAACCACCTGTGGAAAATGTATTAATAACAATGTCTTCAAGGATCTGAAGGGAGAAAATTTACAAATGAATTTGCAATGAATGGCCTTCCTCGGGGCTGAGACATCTACACTACCAGGGGCCGGTGGGTCAGTCTCCCCAAGCCACCTTCTGGTTGGGGGTTGGGGGGGTGGAAGAGCGCCCCCTGAAGGCAGAGGACGCACTCTGATTCCTTGAGGTCCCGCCATGCAGAGCAGACAGGCCTCGATGCTCTTCCCTCACAGCTTCTGGCCGTGGTGTTCGACACCTTCAATGACATCGAGAAACGCAAGTTCAAGTCTTTGCTGTTGCATAAGCGCACCGCCATCCAGCACGCCTACCGCCTGCTCATCAGCCAGCGGGTAGGGGGGCGTGGGGGCTGGGCCAGGAGGGTTGGTCTCTGCTCCCCGTCCCTTGCCCTGGGCAGTCCCTAAGCCTGGCAGCGTTAGAAAACATGAGTCATGGCCCTTTGGAAGAACAAGAAAGAACAGGGTGCCCTGGGATCCTGGGCTCCATATTTTCCTGTGTTGACATTGCCACCCTCCCTCTCCCCCAGAGGCCTGCCGGCATCTCCTACAGGCAGTTTGAAGGGCTGATGCGCTTTTACAAGCCCCGGATGAGTGCTAGGGAGCGCTATCTTACTTTCAAGGCCCTGAATCAGAATAACACACCTCTGCTCAGGTAAGAGCACAGGCCAGGTGGGGGGCAGTGTAGCCCGACAAGGCATTCAGGAGAGGGAGCTGGGGCAACAGGAAGGCACCCGGAGGTGGGCGGGCAAAGAGGCTCGTGAGAGACGTTTTCTTCGAGGTTCTTATACATGTAGACTATATTCGTCAGGATTCTTTCTGCAAGTGACTCACGTCCAACCCAAATCCAATTCAAGCTGCCTTGACAAACAAGGAATGTGTTGCATCATGAAATGGGCTGGCCCAGCCAGTCACCCTCGAGTCGTGAGTGAGGTGGCACAGCTGCAGTGAGCAGATCCACAGAAGGGACACACACACATGCACGCACGCACGCACGCATACCTGGCACAGCCTCAGAGAACTAGCCCTGAGATCCCCGTGGGCCGTCTCGGTCCCCTGGACTGCTGATGACCAAAACCCTTCTTTTCGATTTGAAAAGAAGCAGGCCAGCTGTCGAGAGGAGCGAGCAAGCTCTGTTTGGGCTGAACTCTCAGTCCCAGTTGTTTTATGATGTCCCCTGCTAACGGAGGCTCAGCCTCTGTCCATGTAAGAGTTGTAGTAACCCAGGGCAAGTGAAGCTGTCACTCAGCGTAGACTAAGCGGATTAAGTATTCCTAGTACAAGTATTCGTAGTACCTGGAAGAGGGAGATCAAAATGCCTGCAGGGAAGGGTCCCCTGCGCACTGAGGTGCTGGGGCTCCCAGATATGTGCCCCCCTTCCTCTCCCACCTTCATCTCTTAAATGTGACCACAGGCAGGTGAGTGAGAATACTGAAGCTCAGTGGGTGCATGCTGATCTTTTTTGCCTTTTCATGTTGCTATGACAGCCTGAAGGACTTTTATGATATCTACGAAGTCGCCGCCTTGAAGTGGAAGGTGAGTGTCTGTGTGACACAAGCGAGGGAGCCGGCAGACAGCTCCATGGGGGAATGAGGCCAAGAGGCACCCGAGGTCCGGCTCTTGCCCAGCTGGAAACAGCCCAGCCCTGGGCTTGGCATCATGCAGTGCAGGGACACCAGGTGGCCTGGACATATGCAATGTGGTGTCAGAGCACCGAATCTGAGACCCCATTCGTCACCATGTGACCTTAGGCCGGTCACCTTGGAAATGGGCTAACAATAATCCCGACCTACGGAGTTATTTTCAGGATTCTATAAAAATAAATACACGTGCATGGCCCATTTAAATGCTCAGTGAGCATTGGCTGGCTTGGTTGTCACTTAGATCCCTGAGTGTTTGCGTTGTTCCCCAAGGTAGCCGGGCAAGCAGGGAAAGAAAGCGGCATCCTCAGGGATAGGTTCTGATCACTGGTCCTAACACCTTCTCTCCCATGGCCCTGTTTCCTGGTCAGGCAAAGAGAAATAGAGAGCACTGGTTTGATGAGCTTCCCAGGACAGCCTTCCTCATCTTCAAAGGTAAGGTTCACCTGCATATGGTGTCTCAGCAGCTAGGGACAGATGGAAGTTTCCAGACCACAGACAAGCATTGGAAGCGCACGCTCAGAGGGTGTGTGCGTACGTGTGTCTGAATGTCTGCGTATGTGAAAGAGACAGAGAATGTGATTACTCATCAGGGGATTAAGTGTTGGACCAGGAAGAAATTGGTAACTTAAAAACCAAACGAAGAGACATTTGTGGAATATTCATTCATTAAAGAAAATGTACAAAGTCAGATAATTAGAAGAAAATGAAAATTTCCCATGCAGAGATAACCACTGTTAATTTTCCAATGTGTTTCTGTCGATTACGTTCTTGCACATTTTATTATTTTATCTATTTTATTTATTTATCTAGAATTTTTATAAGAGTTTATTTGAGCCAAACAGATGACATATGCTGGGGAGCAAGATCTCAAATGCTCCCCGCTCTTGCACATTTTAAAAACAGTCATGGGATTATATTATATATTTTGTTCCAAACCTGCCTCTTACCTAATAGTGCACTTTGCCCATCCTCCTGTAGCAGGATACATAGCTAGTCTGTATATCCCCTGCATAGTATAAAATTCAAACTTTTTAAATTGGACAGCCCATAGTATGTGCCTCATAGTTGCCCCTTAATTTAATGCCAGCTTTGAAGTTCCACGTGGGGGTGTGTGATTAGCTCACAAGGAGTTTCTCAAGCAAAAAGCCTGAAGCCTGAGTCTGGACCATTCTGAGCAAGAGTAAAGATGGTGTATTCTATTTTGTGATTTTTGTTCCCACTGCTCGGCTTTGGGCACAGCTGTTAGTCCATATTCTTTAGAGGGTTTTCCATTCCACTGGAATGATAGTTACTGTAGTGGCTAAATACATCATCCCGGGCTGAGGCCAGTATAAATGAGGTTTTGGCAGTGGTCAGCGAAGCTTTGTCCTGCTCTGTCCCGGCTCCGGCTTGCCCACACCTCTCCCCAGAGCAGCCGTTGTCAGCTCAGCCTCGTGCGGGCATCAGAGTGTCACTCTTTTTCACCCCTGGGCATAAATTCCCTGGTTGCTTATGTGCATGAAGTATGGGGTAAGGGAATGTGTACTTGCATTTGAAAGTGAAAATGGTAACATTTCTTCTCTTCCATCAGGAATTAATATCCTTGTGAAGTCCAAAGCCTTCCAGTATTTCATGTGTAAGTGCGAAATGTCACAGCTCTGGGCCCCTTTCCTCCTGCGTCTCTCCCTGTTCCGAAAGGTGGAGAGGCAGGAGTTCAGTACCGCAAGTCATGGTTTGGACGATTCCAAGCATGTGTAACAGTAGAGAGATCATAACGAGCATGCATGTACCATCACCCAGCTTCAACGATTCCATCCGACCGCCAGTCTGCCTGTCCATCCACACCCTCACTCCGGCTCACTGTCCTCTACTTTTTGGAAGCAAATTCCAGAACCACCGAGTGTGCCTGGTGGATATGTCACTTGAGTCTGTTTGAGCCTGTAGGTTCCTCTCTCATCCCTTGTCCCCCTCTTGCAATATTTCGCTGAAGAAACAGGATCGTTTGTCTTCAGTCTTAGGTTTGCATTTCCCGTGTTGTGTATCCCATGGAGTTCGGTGGTTCCATCGAGAGCTGTGTTGTCCACTATGGCAGCCACTAGCCAAGTGTGGCTATTTAAATGTAAGCGAATTAGAATGAAAAATTCAGTTTCCCAGTCCCAGTTGCCACATTGCCAGTGCTCAGTAGTCCCAGATGGCTCATGACCAGCAAGGGGACAGCACAGATGAGGACATTTCCATGGACACAGAAAGTTCTGGACATTTATAGGCTTGACTGGAGTCAGCCTTCCCAAAGAGCTCTGGTCCGTTTACTGGGAAATGCTGTTTAGAGACCACAGCCCGAGGTGCTGGAGGTGCTCACTGCATAGAGTTGGTTCCTATTTCATAGGCCTTTCCACGGACAGAGGAAGGGCTTTGGTTTTTTTAAAAGATAAACTATATTGTGAGTTTATCCTGATATCCCTAACTCAAATTCAGGACTGTAAGCTTTTTACCTAACCATCCTTTCATATCTAGATTCCAGTCTTAAAATCCTGGTTCCCAACACTGACCCAGTAACTCATTTGCTTTATCCCACGGTACACACGTAACAGTCTCCAAAAAGCAACCCCAACACAACCCCAACAAGATAATTACCAGAAACACCGCTTCAGGGATATACAGTCAGAGTACTGCGTTTTAAGGTCACTGGACTAGTTCCTCTCCGTGTGGGTATGTCCACCAACTGGATACACATTCAGGTGTCTGCATTCCATGTTATTTTTGAGTCTTTAGGGATGGCTTTTTACATTTAATTTTGTTTGGTAATTATGTAAAATACTTACATGGTTCCAAGTCAGACCTACAAAACAAAGTATATCCAAGGAAGTCTCATTGACATATTGTCACCTGTGCCAGTGGATGACTTTGATGATGGTTTCGCCTTCCATGTTTTAAAACCTCTAAGTAGATGCATATGTATACACATATCCCCCTGCCTTAAATAAACCATAGCAGACTTTATACCCTTTCTTCCACCTTGCTTTTTTTCAGTTAGTACTATATCCTGGAGACTACCCCATAGTGAGATACAGAGATGGTCCGCATTCTTTTTATAGTTGAGAAGTCCACCTTTTCATGACCGTATCCTAGTTTGTTCAGCCAGTCCCCTGCTGATGATCTAGGTAGTCTCTAGTTTTTGCGATCACAAATAGTTCTTCCGTGTATAGCTTTCCATGTATATCGCGTTGTGTTTTTGCTGGTGTCTCGTTAGGATGGGAGCCTAGAGGTGGGATTGCTGGGTGACAGGCCAAACACACATGCAACCTTGCTAACTATGCAGTCATTTTCTTCTTTTTTTTAAGATTTTATTTGGGAAGTGGGGGAGAGGAACAGTGTTGGGGAATTGGGGAACGGGACCAGCCAAGTTGTTGTTCTTCAGTCTTCGTTGTGGAGGGCGCCAGTCACCATCTGACTGTCATCGGCAGCTCGTGGCCTCTAAGCTCAAGGTGCTGTGTTCAATCTTAGTTGCGGGTGGGCGTAACCACCATCCCATGCAGGAGTCGAACCAGCAGCCTTGTTGTTAAGATCACACGCTGTATCCACTGAGCCATCCAGGCGGCAGCGCAATTCAAGGTGCCAAGTTCACTTAGTTGCGGGTGGGCGTAGCCCACCATCGAACAGGCAATCTTGTTGTTACACCAGCTGAGCCATCCTGCCACCTGTTGGCAGCTCAGCGACAGCTCAGATTAGGCGCAGTGTCACTGGCCCATGTGGGAATCGAACCGGCGGCCCCGTTGCTCAGAGCCCATGCTCTTAAGACAACTCTTAACCAATTGAGCCACTCGGCCGGCCCCTATGCAGTCATTTTTAAATCAGACATCTTTAGGGAAAAGCACACACTTTCAATACTTAAACCCTTATATATATTGTCCATCTTTTATACTGACTTGGAATAATCTGTAGGTTTTACTGAAACATCTTAACTGCTATTCCTGCAGTAACACAGATGGTGTTTTTAAAAGCCCATAGCCATCTCTGAGTGAAACCACTGGCTGATTTAGCTCCTGGTAAAAGCTCTAAGTGGAAAGAAGTCACCCATCACATGAGTGCAGGAAGCAGCCCTGCTCTCCGCATCTGCCCCCAAATTAACCAGGGCCTGCAGGTGTGACCTATGGGTTTCTATGCCCACCTTTACTTTCTCTGTCTACCATTGTAGACTTGGTGGTGGCAGTCAACGGGGTCTGGGTCCTCGCGGAGACCTTCATGCTGAAAGGTGAGCATGAAAGTGAGCCCAGCTGGGGACTGGCCCGTCCTGTGGGTGCACCTGGGCCGCCTCTTGAGCTGCTGCCCCTCTGCCCTACAGGTGGGAACTTCTTCTCCAAGCACGTGCCCTGGAGTTACCTCGTCTTCCTGACTAGTAAGTCTCTGACATGGCTTTGCTAATCGGCTTGTCTTAAACACTGGTGAGACCGTTCATTTGGTTTAGGACCTCATGGCTCTTCTCTAAAGCGGGGAAGCTTAATGGGAAGTGAGCAGAAATTGAGTCTGATTCCGGCCCACCCCTGTTTAAAACTCTTTCGTGGCTCTCCACTGCCCTGCAGATCAAGTCCCCATCCTGCGTGTGCTCGCATCGCCCAGCCTTTCCCGGGTCCCTTCAGCCTTCTCTTCAGCCTCATCTCCTGCCAGTACCGCCACCCATGCCCCACCCTGCAGCCCTCATGACAGCCTCCCCATCCACAGTACCCTGGCCCTTTCTTACCTCAGGGCCTTTGCACAGGCTGTTTCCTCTGCCTGGTGCTCTCATCCCCTTGCCACACTGCTCTGCCTGACATTCCCCCTCCTTGTATGTCCAAACATCCCTGAGCACATTGCGTCGTCATTACCCAGTCACAGTCTTTCTTCCCGTCTAGACGCTAAGCTCTGTGGGGGTGGGTGCTGCACTGTTACACTCCCAGCACCCAGCACAATACCTGACATGGAAGAGGTGCAGGAAATACGTATTGGATAGGCAGACAGATGGCTGGGGCATTCTCAGAGATGGGGGGGGGGAGCGTCTTTCTTCTTAGCAAGTTCCCCCGTTGACCAACGTCTGGGCCAGGCCCTCTCCTGGATTCTGCACAGTGGGCCACGGGGGTGGCATGACTGCCTGGAGGGCACATGGCCTGCAGGGGAGACCTCCGAAGGGTCTCAAAGAGGAAATTGAGCTAGGCCAAGGGTGGGAGGCCGTGGTGAGGACTGCTGCTAACTGCCCGCTCCTGTTCACAGTCTACGGGGTGGAATTGTTCCTGAAGGTCGCCGGCCTGGGCCCTGTTGAGTACCTGTCCTCTGGATGGAACCTGTAAGTGGAGAGCATGTCTCTTAACCACTTCTGAGACTAATGAAAGCCCCCAACCCCCTCCCTGCACACCCACAGCACACACGCCAGTGTCTACAGTTACAAAAGGAAGATGTCAGGCCAGTCATGCCCTCTGGCTCCGGGACGCCCTAGGGTCAGCCTCTTGTCTCATTTTCTCTGGCCACCCATGCCAGCCCCTCCTGTACATGGCTTCTAAGGGTCCCTAAACTGGCAGGCTCTTCCTGAGTCATTGAACCCTGACACCATCCCCCACAACTAAGCTCGTCTCCATAAAAACCCCGACGCCCACAGAGAAGGAAGGCCCACCACCTCCCTTGGGCAACAGCAAGCCGGTGGCTGTGAAAGACATGAGTGTCCCTTCTCCCTGTTCCACTGAGTCCTCAAGAGGTCACGTGCCACCCGTTAAACTTAAATCACCCGTGAAATCAGGCTACACTCACGAGGTCTTGGGTCGTGAGATGGAAACGAGTTAATAAATAGAGAAGAGTGTGGGCCAGACTGTAAGCCACGTGCCAAGCTCTTTTCAGGGTCTCAGTGCGGATCTGTAGAGGGGAGAGGGGGCCTCTGCTTTGCGCAGGGAGGGGTCTCTGGTCTCCAGGTGGAAAGTTACCTGCCAACCCTGCCCCTTCCCTCAGGGACCTCATCAGGGTCTGGGGTCACCGTTATAACTGATGTCTGCTGTTAGACCAGTGCAGGACCTTCAGGAGGGGGTTCTGGGCGTTTGTGTGTGTGTGTGTGTGTGTGTGTGTGTGTGTGTGTGTGTGTGTGTGTGTGTGTGTGCTGTGATGGGGCGTGGCCACGTCAACCTCAGAGATGCCAGGGCTGCAGGAAGCTGCATCCCGCCTGGCCGGCTGCGCGGCCTCTGCGGGGCACTCTTGCTTTTGCTGCTGTTGGCGTGTGGGCTTCTGGGGAGGGAGCACTGAGAGCGGGGCTGGGAACAGCGCCCGGGATGAGGGAACAGCGCCGGGGATGGCTGGGCAGACCACTCTCCCGCTCCCTCCTAGGTTCGACTTCTCCGTCACCGCGTTCGCCTTCCTGGGACTCCTGGCTCTGGCCTTCAACATGGAGCCCTTCTATTTCATAGTGGTCCTGCGTCCCCTCCAGCTGCTGAGGTGACAGGGGCAGGGCTGGGGTTGGGGCCGAGGGAGGGCGGGAAAAGCCTGGGTGGGGCTGGTCTGGGAAGTGACCGGGATGAGCCAGAAGATTCACAATCCTGGGGTCAGAGATTGCAATGCCCCCAACAAAAGCACCCGGGGGCCATTGTCTGTTCACATCGCCATGACCAGTCACCGCTAAGTATGGAAGAGAACCATGGCGCGGTGAACGTGGCCTGTGGTGCTGTCAGCTGCAGCCATGGGAACTCTTGTGCTCACAGTCATAAACCAGAAGGCCCAGCTTCTGAGGGGGTCCAAAGGGACTTTTGAGGCTTTTCTGGTGGAGCCACTTGTCGAGAAAAACCCTCACTTGGTCTCACATTTTTCCCAGGGACCATTGTGGGGACTCAGCAAAGCACTGCCCCAAGGGCGGTGTCCCTCACTATTTAGGAATCTTGAGCTCTTCGGAAGCCTTGTTTTCCTCTTGGCTGTCCGGCCGTGATCCCATACATGTCCATCGTTCCGTCCTCCCTGGGAGGAGGGGTGGGGGTGTGGGGTGGGGACCAGGAGCGGCACCTCTCTCTGCAGCAGATCCCGGTGGTGGAGATGGCCGGGCCAGGCGAATGTCAGCTCCTCCCCCGCACCGCCACCCTTTCTTTATCGATGGGCGGCCACCCTCGGGGCTCCTCTGTGGCCTGGGTTTCCATCCCCTTCTGTCTCGGGTTTGCTGCGCTGTCGTAAGCAGGGCCTCGCCCGCTCTGAGCCTCCTGGCTTCGTTGTCTGTAAACCGTGGTGAATAGCTGCTGCTCCCTGCTCACCCGAGTGAGAGATTGAGGAGACACAGCATGGCTCTGCCTCCCTTCCGGGACCTTGTCCAGCCTCAGTGTCCTGGGCGCCACCCCCCCGTCCCTTCCCAGGTGCAAGAGTCACCTGAGCAGGTCCTGGATGAGGCTCTGAGGGAAGTCGGCACCCAGATGGATGAGAGGCCCCTGGGCCTGTCACGTGCCTGGGGCTGCGGCCATGCCCTGCGTCTGTGAGTGACCGACTGGGCCTCCTTCCCTTGCTCAGGTTATTCAAACTGAAAAAGCGCTACCGCAACGTGCTGGACACCATGTTTGAGCTGCTGCCCCGGATGGCCAGGTACTGCCCTGCCTCTAGGCCCCAGGGCCAGGCATTCTGAGGCTTGTGCCCGCTGCGGGGCGGGCAGCCGGGCGGTCATGGGAGGACAGGAGGAGATGCTAAAAGGACTGCAGCCGAGGGTCTGACGGGGTCTTCAAGGAGGCTGAAACCTTGACCACCACCGGTCTCCCTGGCACCATTTTTTCTCCACTGACCTGTCTGAAATAGGTAGTAGGGAGGGCAGGGAGCTGTCACCTCACTTACCACCTGTGTCTACGTTCACAGGTAAGGGGTCACCTGTGAGTCTACCTTCACAGGTAAGGGGTGAATCTCTGGTCAAGGGGCATCTGTTCAGAGAGTCCTCATCCGAGCCATTTTTTTAGCCCAGACCTGAATCACAAGGCCCCCTTCCCGGCAGGCACCTCCCAGTCGGTGAACCTGGCTAGGGGCATGTCTCTCCACCAGCCAGCTCAGTGGGTCCGAGGAGGCCGGGCTGCCCGAGGAGGCGGGCTCTCTGGCCTGGCCCTAAGTCACCCTGTCCCTTTGACCCTCCTCCTCAGCCTGGGCCTCACCCTGCTCATCTTCTACTACTCCTTCGCCATCGTGGGCATGGAATTCTTCTATGGGATCCTGTACCCCAACTGCTGCAAGTAAGTGCACCGCGGGCCCCCGGCCTCAGGGACCTCAGGGACATGCCTGTGCGAGCCGCAGCACCCTTGAAAGCCTCTGGAATTACTTTACTTTGCTTTCAGGGCTCAGTCCAGTGCAGTAGCTAAGTGAAGGGGCCGCAGTGAGGACATCTGAGCAAGGTTCCCTGTCCCCCGGGCAGGGCCCAGGAGCCGCCCTCCAACCAGGCCTAGATCAGCTCACCCTTTGGGCTGAGGGCTGGAGGCTTCTTGAGAACCAACTGTGGCCCAGGGCCCGAGGCCTGAGACCATGTCTTTTTCCCACGTCTCTCCAGGGGCGGGTGGCTGGGAACCTGGGCAGACACATCAACCAGGGGCAGCCACTTAGGATTAAGACAAATGGACACCTGCAGGAAGGTCTGTGTGGGCAAAGGATAGAGAGTGGAGAGCCCCACCCCCCATGCCCTCCCCCTTCCCTGCAAGCCACCTCCACCCGTTTCACAGGATGAAGTCCGCGTACTCTGCCATTAATTCTCGATTCACAGTATTCTCTTTAAAACTGGGTCCTTATGGCCCCAAGCACTGACAAAGAAACATCTTCCAAAAAAAGGGAAAAGGAAAGAAACGCCTTCCAAAGACACTGGTAGCTCTTTTGAGTGTCAGGCTGAGCTTGGAACCAGACGCCTGTGGCAGTGGGTCATGAACTTTAGGGCACATCAGAGACACCAGGGCAGCTGCTGAAAAGTGCCAACTCCAGACCCAGCCTGGTGCATCTGATACAGTGTGCCTGGCGAGATTAGCCATGAGAGACTGGAAGGAAAGATGCAAATCAGCTCTCAGGACTGGGCATCAACCTATTAGGACACTGGGCGGGTGCCGGGGCAAGACTGACAATGGGCTTGCCCCTCCCTCGGGCTGCTGCCCAGCGCCCGGCCTCAGGGGCAAATCCCAGACAAAAGCCCCAGAGGAGGCACTGCCTCTCTGCCCTCCCTGCGGTGTCTCCCGCGGGTAGCCGAGAGGGAGCAGGAAAGCTGGGGGCCTGGGCAGGAATCCAGGCTGGGCCAGGATGGTGCTCCTTGGTCGGACCTTGGTTTGCTTAAACGTTTTGTCCTCTGTCGAGGTGACCAGTTGTTTTGTGACAGTCCCTTCTCCCCCTTTGTCTCCCCGGCCAGTACGAGTACAGTGGCAGACGCCTATCGCTTGCTCAATCACACCGTGGGCAACAGAACTGTCGTGGAAGACGGCTACTACTATCTCAATAATTTCGACAACATCCTGAACAGCTTCGGTGAGTGCAGAAATCACAGGCGGGACGCTCCCTGGGCCTGCTGCAGCTGGCACCACAGGTCCTAGAGGAGGCGGAGCCAAGCTGCCTGAGGCCCCTCCCTTCCCAGCTCTGTGCCACACTTCCTCCAGTCCTCTCTGGCCCAGAGGGAGTGTGTGGTTTGCCCAGCTCTGGTGGTGCAGGACAGGCCAGGTCCCAGGTTCACTCAGCCACCCGGTTTTACTCCTTTTCTGATACTTTTTCAGTGTCGGGGCAGAAGGACTTCATGTTGGCCGGGAGGGGTTCAGCCCCATGCTAGGGAACCCCAGCCCCTTTGTCACAGCTCCACAGTCACAGGGTGGGACCCAGCCACACCAACCTGCCACGGTGCCCTTGTATTGCTCAGATCAGGCCCACACAGCTCTGCTCCTGGGTCCTTCCTGTACAGGGGCTGGGGGCACGGGGAGTGGAGGGAAGTGGCCCAGCCAGACAGCGTCTCGAGGAAGGGAGGCCCCTCGTGGCATCCCAGATCTGCACCCATCGAGATCTGAGTGCTCCATCCCCAGTGCTCCACCCCCCACCCCAAGCCCTGGTCCTTCACGGACTGCTCAGGCAAGGGGCACGCCCTTTGGGGGACAGCCCAAGATGGCAGCACTCCCTGGGGGCTGGGAGCTCAGGGAGGGCCTTGCCTGATCTTTCTGGAGCTCACAGCCCTAGCTGGCAGGTGGGGAAGCCGTCCTTTAGGTGCATGGTACCCAGGATGGGTGGAGAGAGGCCCCCTGAGACTGACTTTGGAAATGTGGGTCTGTTGAAGACACTTCTCTTTCTCCCTTCCCTTTGGCAGTGACCTTGTTTGAACTCACAGTTGTCAACAACTGGTACATCGTCATGGTAAGGACCTCGGTCAGCTCCCTGGGGGGTGTCCTCCCACCATCCTCTGCGATCAGCTCGGGACCTCCCCTTTGCCCAGTGTGGGGCGCGTTGCCCTTTCCGTTCCCTGCAAGGGGTGGGGTCCTGGGACACATGGGGTGGGGCTCTGTGGGGAGGCCTCAGTGTGGGCTCAGGGCCCATCCCCTTTGCTGGACTTGGTTCTTGTCCCTGCTCCCCACACAGCCCCCCCACAGCCAGTGAGCCTGTGGGTCTCTGTCCTTCTCCCCCTACTGTGGCAGAGACTCTTTAATCAAGAAACAGTGTGGCAATAGCTGTGCGTTTCTGTTTTCCGTTCCTAAAGCTCCCAAGTGCCACCCCTACTCGGGACAAAGACCGTCCGTGTTAGTCCTAGGACCATCCAGTCCTAGGCAGCACAGAGGAATTTAGACTCAGGGCACCGAGGTCCCCCTGCTGTGTCTCCCACGACCGAAGGCAGATCAAAAAGGGCCAGTAAAAAGCCGGGTGGTGCTAGGGGCCACGGGGCGGCCTGAGCAGACAGCAACCTGGCCCCCAGGCGCTCACTCACGGCTGCTTCCCTCTGTCTCCAGGAAGGCGTAACCTCTCAGACCTCCCACTGGAGTCGCCTCTACTTCATGACCTTTTACATCGTGACCATGGTAGGTCCGGGGACACAGAACACTCTTTGTCTCTTTGAACCGGCTCTGCTGGCTGCGGGAACCCCACGCAGCTCACACACGTCCACCGCCCTCTCTAACCCGTGTCTGTGCCCGGCCAGGTGGTGATGACCATCATCGTCGCCTTTATCCTGGAGGCCTTCGTCTTCCGAATGAACTACAACCGCAAGAACCAGGACTCGGAAGGTCCGTGCAGGGAGCGTTTGCTGCCTTCTGCCTGTCTGGCTGGCTGTCTGTCCAGCTGTCTGGTTGTCCAATCTTCCAGCAGTTCAGCTTATCTCTCTGGCTTCTCTTTCTAGAGCTCTCATGTCCGTTGCTGTTCAAATATTCGATGACAGAAACGTGCTCTTGAACTCATTTTTAAAATAACCACCACGTTGGTCGTCGTTAAAGACAAGTCACGTGGCAGAGACAGGCTAACTGTGGACATGGCGGCCATCTGCCCCACGTCTCCCGGAGGCTTCTCCCTCTTAGCTGTTTCCCCTTTTCGTTATTATCTCCACATTTCTAAACAGCATGTTCAGACCACGCTTCTGGATCTACAGGGCGTAGACATTATTGACTGTATAGCCCGTAGCACTTCCTCCCGCAACTTGATGACCCCCGGCTTTAAGCATCACCTCGCTTTTTCCAGGCTGCCTAGTGTGCTGTATACTGACCCTCCATTCTTTCTAGATTCTCCGTCAAAACTGCCATTACTCGCTTCCATATGTCTTATCGCATCGGGCTGTCTGACCATGTTCCTTTTGCTTGGAGATTCCCTCCCGAAACCCTCTGTCCCCTGTAAGCTGTTGGCCGGACCAGTGCTTTTCACAGCTGCTGCAGGGGGTGGGGGTGGGGGGGGGACGTGAGTTCTTGATGGAAGCAGCCCTGTCATCCTGAGGCAGTTTTGCTCAGAGAGGGAACCTTAGGACCCCCTAGGGGCAGCAGGGAGGGTGACTAAAGGAGACCAGGCCAGGCTGGGGCTCTGAGCCCAGGCTCCCTCCCCTCCTGCAGTTGACGGTGGCATCACTGTTGAGAAGGAAATTTCTAAGGACGAGCTGCTGTCTGTCCTCAAGCTGTACCGGGAGGCCCGGGGGGCCACCTCGGACATCCCCCGGCTGCTGAAGACCCTTTCCCAGATGGAAAGAAACCAGGTGAGGGGCGACGGGGCCCCGTCTGGTGGAGGGGGCGGGTTGTGGCCGAATGTAGTCTCCCCCACTGTCCATCCCCACAAGTGTGGGTGGCACTTTTGGATGGCACCATTGCAAAGGCCAGAAGAGGGGCGAGGCCTGCTGTGCAGAGGGGCACGAGGGCCCAGCAGGGCAGATCCTGCATCCTCTGCTTTTCCATAGCAAAACATCATGGTGTTTCTGGGACGGCGATCAAGGACCAAAAGTGACCTGAGCCTGAAGATGTACCAAGAGGAGATTCAGGTAGGACCCTCCGAGACCCTCGCCTGGGAGTGGTTGTCCCCATTGCTGAGCGGGGCTGCTCTCTGGCCCGTATCTTGAGTAGGGGGAGAAAGCTTCAGTGGGGAATATGGGATCATAGGTTAGGGCCACGACTAGTGGCGCCAGGACTCAGGTTTGGGGGCTCAGGGGCTCGGGGCTCAGCCTTGAACCCTTGAACTATTCCCCTATGTAAGCACCTCTCCTGTCTGTTTTTTTGTATGTCACTGCCACTTGTGCAGAATCTTATCTCAGTTTCCTACTCTGAGCCATTGCTGCAAATGCAATGTGCACAGCAGGAGACGTAATGGGCCCAGGGCAGGTGGGGGGCCGTGGGGGTGTGAGAACACGCCTCTGCAAAGAGTGTGGCCTCTTCCCAGGTCCATGAACGTTGCCGATAATAGGAATAAGGCCTGCTGTGCCTAGCAGATCTCTTGGGTTTTTTTTACTGTTTGGGTTTTTTGTTCTCGCATAAGAGAAGGCAGAAGTCAAATATTATTTTCCAAAATCTCCCCGTCTTTCCACATCGGCAGCTAAGTAAGATATGCAGAGCACCATGTGGGCTGGCACCCTGCATTCCTGGGGGTGCAGCCCCCTGGGAGGGGACAGAGCCCCCAGACTGCAGGCCACCCGCAGGGGAGCCCTGCTTTGGGTCTTCCCTTCCACCTCGGGGTCCCCGGGCCCAACAAGGGCCACTCTCAGCAGCCATCGTGACTAGGCTGTTTTCTGGTGTTCCCACAGCTGGAGACCCTCTGTGTCCGTGGGACAGTGGTAACCAGTGTCCATGCCCAAAAGGCTGGGCGGGGGGGGGGGCTGCAGTACCCTAAAGTGACTCACACATTCTCTGTAAAAACACCGAGGTACAGATACTTGGTGGCTCACTGAACTTGGCGTCACAGGGACGTGGAACTGACATGATCTTTGGTGTCATGAAACCTGGGTTTGATCCCTGGCTCTGTGACCTTGGGCAAGTCACTCAGCCCTTCCACACCTGTGAGGGGGACAGTCCCTGCCCCCCCGTAAAGTAGAGGAGAGGACTGCGTGTGAGCACGCACACAGGTGCGGCCCTGGCCTCTGGCCTCTGCCAGGCCATCCTCTCCCGGCCTAAGTTTCCCTTCTGTAAGATGCAGGGGCACAGAACTAGGCCGTCTCGGTATTTTTTAAGCTCTGAAGTTCTGTGGTTCAGACTCTTTCAAAACGTACGATGTATTTTTTAATTCCTGAATTACCTGAATTCCTCTGTCCCTGAAAATGTCAGATGAGAGGACAATAGCAGTCTAAGGCAGGTGAGCTGTTGGGTTTTTCCTCACACTGCTCTCACTGCCTTGTTGTGGGGCAGCATGGCCACGTGGGAGTTAGGAGGGGCCCTCAGCTCATCCAGGTTTATACATCCTCGAGCCTCACTTTTGTCGGGTGTCAATGAGGACACGACTCCTGCTCAGCTCAGAAGGGAGATAACTCAGGGGCGTGGGGGCGGGGCTTCCGTTGTGAACAACAAAAGATTACGGTCACAAGGACAGGATGATGACTGCTCCCTGACACGTGCTCCAAGCACACTTCGCAAGGCGGTTTGCAAACCTCTGATTAATGAGGGGACTATTTCACTGTAATTTTTCTATTTGGGGCCCTGTTCAGAATTCCCAGCAGGTCCCGGGGGTGAGGGAGCCTTTCAGCCCCAGTTGGGTGAGGCTGGCAGTCCTGCCTCCTCTGTCCTGGACGGTCCCCCGGTCCTGCAGGCAGAGTCCAGAGGGTCACAGCACTGCCTGGCCTGATGACTGTGTCAAGCTGGGGGAAGTGGAGGGCTGGCTGGGAGGGTGCAGGCCGCTCAGCACCCCATTTACCCTGTGCTATAGGAGTGGTACGAGGAGCACGCCCGGGGACAGGAGGAGCAGCAGCAGCAGCTCAGTGGCAGCGGTGTCCCCGTCTCCCAGCAGCCCCCAGGCAGCCGCCAGCGCTCCCAGACCATCACCTAACCCAGTTCGCGAAAGCCATCTCTTCTATGCAATAACACAATAGTATTATTTTACTACGATGTATTGAAACGTGTGTGTGTGTATGTGTGTGTGTGTACACACACACATACACACACACACATTCATATATATGCACATATTTATATATAGAAAAAGGAAAAGACAGGCGGACAAGATGGGGTTTGGTTTGTAATCACCTTGCCCTGTTTTCCTTAACCCCAGAAGTCAGTTTGGTTTGGGGCGGGGGTGGGTCAGGCCCCTAGGAGCTCTTCGTAACATGGAAAGCTCCGGAAGGCCCCTTCACAGGATGACTACTTGGATAGATTCTGCCCATCTCTGCAGGGCTTGTCTTCCAAGTGGACCAGCCCTCCCTCGGCCACGTCCACGTCCAAATCGGCCTCCTGACTGCTTTCCAACTCACAGCTTCTCCACTAACGTTCCCTGCGGCCCCTTCACGGGTTTCTGCGTCTTGCTTTAGGGACAAAACCACTTAGGAACGAGAGAACCCACATCCTTGGGGCTTGTACTTCTATTATTACGATAATGCAGTAGAACGTTCCTTTGGGGGAGCCAGTGCCTCGGGCCTGATGGGAAGAGTAAAGCGAGGGGTGTGATGAGACTGTGTGGTCAGTGCCAGGCAGTGAGGTGACGCTGACACACTCTGTGTCCTGGCTCGTGTCCTTTCCCACACCGATTTTGGTTTGGTTTCACCCCTTGTCGCCAAAGGGCCTTCGAATGTGGCCCCCTTGGGAATCCGGGCCCAGCAGGAGGAGCAAACAAGCAGCAAGCGGGCCGATGGCCACCCCCCCTCCCCCAGACCAAGTCCCGGCATGGGCTATCTCCCCTAAATCCCTTTTCCCTGGGATTGTCCTGTTCAAGCCAAAAGACATGTTGGTTAATTCAGGATTCTGCTAGAGACAATACAGGTCCCTCAGGTGTGTGCATTAGGTTCCACTGCTGGGAACCGGAGCAGAGAGCACAGACCCCACCCCCGCCGGCTGTCCTCAGCGGCCCTGTGGCTGAACCCTGTGGTCGGTCCATTTGGCCAGCTCCCCTCTCCCCTTGGACAGAGGCAGGAGTGGGGCCTCAGCTCACCCGAGTGGTCGGTGCGGAAGCATGTTCAGGTGGACCCCAAGTGCCCCTGGTACCCTGGGGGAGTTCTCTGTGAGATCAGTGTGGTGAGGGCAGGACCAGCGCTCCGATCCAGAGCAAGCCGTCAGGGCTGGCAGCCCCGGTAAGCGGTAGAGGTGGCCCCAGAAGCAGGGCCGCAGTGGAGGGACCTTGGGTTCAGCTCTCCCGGGCTGCAAGCCTCTCATGGTGCAGGAGGCAGAGGCGGTGGGATGCAGGGGTGGGGAGGGGCATGGGGAGCCTCCCCCACTGGACATCCTGGTCCACCCCAGCTCTCCAGCCGCCCCCATGACTTAGGAAGAATGATGGGCAGAGGTTCCCCTCGCCCTGTCCTCCTCCCGACAGGGCAGGGTGTGATTCCAGGGGTACAGTACCGGCTGCCCCACACCCTCTCCCCGGCCATCTCCAAGGCCCCCTGGCCAACACTGCACAGCTCTGCCCCTCACCAGGGGAGAAGTGGTGGGCGTTTGCGTTTTTAAAGCACAGCCCTTTGGGGAAATAGGGAATTGTGGGGAACCACTGAGATGCTCACAGGCTGATGTCTTCTTCGTCTCTGGAGGGCCACTGGCCGTCGTCACGGGCAGCTCAGCCCCAAGCAGAACTCCTTTCCCTCTCTCCAGAGCAGCAACTTGATTTGCACAACTGGGTGCCTTTTAGCTTTCATGTACTGAAATGGGGGCATTTGGGAAGTGGGGTCAAGGGGCAGCGTTTAAAGGAGGGTGGGAGTCCTGCCACCTGAGTGTCTGGGCCTCATTCTAGTCTCTTCCTCTGCCCCCAAGGGGCTGCAAACCTGGGAAGGGCACCAGAGGAGTTGAGGCCCCCGTGTGAGGGCTGGTATCAGCAAGGGGGGACTCTGGTCCACCCCTCCCAACCCTGGGAAAGGCCCTGGTGTAGCCAGGACGGGACGAATGCAAAGGGCCAACAGTGCTGACGGGCCAGACTCCAGCCACTGGTCAGCGCCCTTGTCATTGGTAAGGACAGCTGTCCCCACGGGGTCACCCGCGGCCTCGGCAAGTTGACCCTCAAACTTGCACATAGGCTCATGGAGCAGAGAGCAGGTGTCACCCAGGGTTGTGAGCTCTGAGGGACCCAGGACATCATCCAGCTCAGATGCCGTCTTACCTCCCATGTCATAGCTGAGTGAAACCAAGCTGAGACTCGCCTGGGTCATGCAACCCGTCAGTAGCCGTGACGGCTCTGTGCCCCTGCCCAACTTCAGGGGTGGGGTGCCATCTGGCCCCTCCTCCTTGCTTCCCTCCCCCAACCCAGCCTTACTCCACACCACGCGACAATCATTTTGTACGGATAGCGGGAGCAACGCTGTAAGATTTTGTACATTGATTTGTTACCTAGAAAATCCACTGTGTCTCCGGACTACTGGCCTATTAATAAAAGAGCCTCTGCTTTGTACATGTGGCTGCTGCCTCGTGACATCTGCCGGGTGCCACTCTGTGGCTTCTGGTATTGTGGGGGAAGTGGGGAGGTCCTATCCAGGGCCGTTCCTGAGCCCACCTCAGCCCCACCCCTAGAAGGGCCACCAAGCTGATATATCAGGCCCAAGAGCCTTCAGCCCCGGGACCAAGCACTCGCCACCTGGCCCAGGTAAGAAAGAACTGGTAAGACCTAGCTGTATGTTATGTTCTGGATATTTGAAATATTTAATAACTTTCATTGGAAAAAAGATGGTTGAATCCCTTTACTGCCAGCATAAGGCAAAGAGGCAAGGTTACTGGCAGCAAGAAGGTTCTGAGGAGGGGGGGCCACTGCTCGTCCTCCCCAGAGCTTGCAGGCACTGGAACCCCAGTCCAGGGCTCCCCTGAGGTAGGCACAAGGCACAGACTGACTCCTGTTTTGCAGCTAGGGAAACCCAAGGTTCAGGGTGCAATTTGCCAAGAGCCAGCGGGCAGTTGCAGAGATGCCATCTCGAGCTGGGCCGTCCAATATGGCTGCCACGAGTGGGGCCAGCGGCCACACGCCGATATTTTGGAGCCATCGAGTTCAATAAAATATATTACCATTAATTTCACCTGTTTCTTTTGGTTTTCTTTAACGTGACTAAAAAATTCGAAATTAGGTCTATGTCTCATATTGTGTTTCTGTTGGACGGTGCAGCTCTAGAAGTCAGCCCA